TGTTAAAATGTGGCAATGTTCAAGATGTGAATAAAACACCATATCCAACATGAACAGCAAATCAATTAGACTAGAGATGAACTAATAAAAGCTATTTTCATACTAAAACAATAGGGCTTTATAAAAAGGAATGTAAAGAATTTATGTTCCTGTCAGTGAAGTGCCACAGCCGACATGAGAACTGTGAAGAAATTTAGATGGGCTCGCCGTGCCATTAGAGAGTTTTATAATAACGTTTGCAGGCGCTGCGGGCATGGCTGGTGCCACATGAATTCTATAATAGCGTTAGCACTCCTGCAAACCACAACACATGAACGCAGCAACGCCGTAGCCTCGAAACCAGTGTTTGTGGGTCGCACACACTGCCCGCTATTTCAGATTTTCTGCGGCGGGCCGCATGCGCATTGGTAGCGACCGCACCGCAAGTGCTCGCGGTGCCTTATTCTAAAACTCCCTATTGCTAGGCAATTGAGTAGTTTTTTTTTATATTACAATATGAACTACTATATGGGCACTTGATAAGTTTTTGCCATCGCTGCCATGCTCCGCGTAAACTACAAGTTGGTAACATTCCCCGTGCATCGTACGTTCTACCCGTGCGTCAGATTGCGCAAGCTGTGGTGGTGAGCGCTGCTCAAGCAGAGATCAAATGAGGCAGCCGATCTCCGTCGCTCACTCAAATGACGGCGCGCGCGTTAGTATCCCGTTGCGTGTTACACCTGCCGTCAGATGCTCAAGTAGAGATAAAACACGCCACCCACTTTGAACGAGCATAAAAAAAGACCCGGGAGAGGGGGGGTAGGGGTGTTTGAGCAGCAGCGGTGAGCTTTAATTCTAAGGCGTGGTTGTGATATGCTGGCGCATGTGCTATCGGCAAGCATCAGTGCACGGCTCATGAACTCTTCTACATGGCAAGCTCTCAACGGGAAGAGATTATGAGATAAGAGCATTTCTCCCTGGAGCGGCCAATCTTATTCTCTTACACCAGCGTTTTGTAGAGTGTCGCGATGTCGAATCCAAAAGAATTAACTTTCAGCCTTCTTGTTGTCTCGAGGTCGTGACGTTGACGAAGGCAGCAGCCACTGTTTTTACGAGTGAACCTTTCATTTGGGCGAACCTGTGCCCGGAAAACGAAACGTCACTCTACAAGCAATACACGCTGTAGACTGATGACAGCAAATCAGAGCGTCAGCCGTCGATAAGCAGCCAAGTGCGTCGGCATTTATACATGTGCCATCAAATATTTCAGCGTTATCGCTAGCGGCCACGAAAGTTCCAGAACTCTAATGTATGCGTTGTGCGCGTAATCTCATCGGAAGTTTCCAAGATTATCTAGATTGTTCCCAGTCATTCTGGTGCGGTTTGCGCAAGGTACATGCGTAATGATGTGGTAGCGAAAATAGAAAGGAGCAAGTGCAGCATTAGCATTACAACATTACAAATTCTTATTACTGCAGTCATCACTTCGCCGGTGAAACTAATTTTTAGTGTTTCTTTCTTTTTTAGTTTATATACTTTGGCTAACAGCTTTGCTGTTCAAACATATATAAAGTCGCATAATGAGGTATGCACACAAACACCACCATAACGGGATTCATGCATGAACCGAATACGACGTGACTAGTGAAACAGAACCAATAGATGCGACCAAACTAATTTGATATGGGCGCAGTCGCCTCCTTAGTGTAGCACATGCGGGTTGCTCGGTCAATGATAAAACTCGACTAAATGTGGTGTTGCATACGCAAATTGCCGTTTAGGAGCAGCAGGTCAAATTGGCGCAAAATGGCACGAATGGCACAGCACTTCCACCCCTGCAATTTTAGCGTCCATTCTTACAGGGGTGGTATACATTGATTTTGCACCAAAAATAATGATGCGAGAAGCTAGAAACTTCTCAGATTAATGCAAAAAATAAGTACAGATGCTGATCAAAAAGATTTTTTTGCGATTTTCAGCCTTCTAAGATTCGTGTTTACCCTTGAACTTCAAAAGTTATTCAATTTCTTTGTATGTGACAGCAATCACAGAAATCTTGAACTTTCACTATTTGCAGAATCACTAGTCCTGCTTTGATTTGAAATCAGCTTGCAGCATTGCACTCATGGCTAATTGCACTGTCAGCTATGCAATTACATTCACCTTTTGATAAGCACTTTCTTTCCTATTGTCTCCGAAAACAATAGAGTGGCAGCTCAGTGTATCTTCTAAATTATTTGACTTACAAAACAATTTTTGCATATTTGAAATCCGCAGGAAAAATACATAAGCATGTATATTTTCATCATGTTTGGTATAAAAATGCAGAAAATATATCCACACGCCATGTCCCCCCTTAACACTGGAACCTTCTGCGTCTATGTGCAATATTAAGAAGCATAAGAAGTAACCAACGCTCGCTAAACTCGGCAGGCACACGACAAAGCGACCATTTCCTCTGCCACTTTATGTTGTCTGTTTATTTCTTTCGCCATTTGGTTATGCAATGAAGGTGAGTGGACTTTTATTTTAGAACATAATACGCATGGATGAAATCCAATTATAAATGTTTTCTTTTAGAGGAACTTTATTTATGCAGTCGTATTCACTTTTGAGCCGAAGCCTCGCTCAACACCAGCCAACACAAGCCTAGCAGACACATATACCGCCACTTCCGGCACTCCAACGAATTAAGAAATTCACATAGACGGTGGCGCCACATTTCCCTCTAGGTATTTTTGTGAGAAACTATGCGAAATTCAATTCCGCAAATTTCTTTTTAACAGTGAAGCACAATAACCATTAGACCACTATGGCGGTTGTTAGAAAAAGACACATGGCATTTTCTGCAAAGACCCACTGGGTGCAAATGTCTGCATTTCCATAGCAGCCACATTATTCTTAACCTCCTAAAAATGAAACACACTTTTGTTTCCAGCTCATGTTCTTCTCACAGCACACTCCATTCCAGAGACAGGTTGGGGTGTAGGTGTGAGTTTTTTTTTTTTTTTTAATATACTGCAGGCTTACTCGGCCCTTGCAGGAGTGGTTACATAAGACAAAAAAAGCAGTCATAAACAAAAATCAATGGCTTGTACTTTAGACACAAAGGATTCCACGGTGGTACTTTGCACAACACTATCAGGCAACTTGTTCGACCTAGAAATACCTGAGGAAAAGAGCGAATGTTTATGTAGGTTGACCCGACTAGAAGGTCGACGCGACTAGAGTTAACATGAAAACTGTGTTTCAGTGATAGTTATGACGTGGATCTTGAAATCATGAACATCTTCAGTGAGGCTCTATCTGCTTCAACAAAAAACCCACAGGCTTTCTACATATCTTCAGTCACATGAACTTGTAGTGAAGTGCACCATGGCACAGCAGGTGCACTATCGCAGACCAACATTTCTTTCCCTTCATTGCCAGCAATTGCGCGGAAAAGACCTGATCCCTGAGTTGAATTCACAATAAAGTTAGTTGATATAGAGACTCTCAGCAACACGCTTCGTCTCTGCGTCACTCCCGCATACCAACAATTGGTCACCCATAGTCCCGAACATGGAACAACACGACACCATCGCCACCCCAACAGTGGCTTTATTAGACATGAAGCTCCCTCCCTTCAGGACCAGTGATCTAACACTTCAGTTCATCCAGGCGGAAGCTCTGTTCGCCACACGTCGCATCACCGCCGACACCACTAAATACCACTACGTAGTGGTCGACAATCCACCTGCCACAGTGAGTGAAGTGCGTGACATTCTGCTTGCCCCACCAGCAGATCTTGCATATCAAGTGCTCAAAGAGGCACTAATTTGCCGTCTCACCCTTTCGAAGCTGGAGTGCCTACGGCAGCTGCTACACAAGGCCGAGCTGAGTGACCGCCGACCAAGCCAGCTGTTGCACCAGTTGCAGCAACTAGCGGGCGACAAAACAAGCCTCGACAGTCGCCTGGTGCGGGAGCTTTTCCTCCAAAGATTGCCTACAACCGTGCAAATAGGCGTCACGGCCTAGAGAGACAGATGTCCACAAAATCGCCGAAATAGCTGACCGACTCATGGCCGTCTCCCCACCAGCAGTTGCCAAAGTGCTTGTCGAAGCCTCGCCGTCTCCCGCTTTGCTGGAGATTCGAGCAGAAATTTCTTGCTTCGCCAACACTGTCGCGGCGCTACAGTCAAATGGAAGCCAAAGAACACAGTGGCATGCTGCAGAACAACAGTGACAGCTGTGGTAATACCATCGTAAGTTCGGTGACACTGCACGGAACTGTGTGCCGCTGTGCGAGAAATCGGGAAATGCACAGAGCCAGCGCCGAGGGTGACAAGTGCCACCGGCTCAGAGGAAAGTAGCCCGTGTGTTTTCTTTCTGACTGATCGCGAGAAGGGCACCTGCTCCTCGTCAACACTGGGGCAGAGGTCAGCGTGCTACCGGCGTCACCTGCCGATCGCAAAAGCATGAGCTCTTTGCCATTGCAGGCTGTAAATAACACCGCTATACCAACGTACAAGCACCGCTCTTTGTCAGTAGACCTGGGCTTCAAGTGCAAATTTAGGTGAACATGTGGGGTAGCCGATGTCAAATTTACTATCCTTCGAGCGGACATCTTGCGGCACTTGGAACTGCTTGTTGATGTACGCAACTGGTGCATACAGGATCTCCTCTCAAAAACAGAAGTGTGCGAATCATTTGTGGTGGCCTTCTTCCTGCAGTAAACTAACACAGGCCAAGCATGATGATGATGATAATGTACAGAGTTGAAGCATAAATAGTTTCTGGAGCCGGCAAACGTAAAATATGCATAAGAAACATCCAATGCAATCTTACATGGAGCATTTTTATATTCCACTGGTAGATTTAATTGGTGCAATCTGAGTGCAGGATTCTAGCAACCGCTTCACGTCTTTCAGCCAATAACGTCATTAGCAATCATGGCGAGTTGACAGCTCATTACGGCCCATTTTCGTAATGCTAGTCGCTCCAACATAGCTGGGAAAAGAGAAAATGCAAGAGTGACTCACCAGGTGTTCTGGTGGCGGCAGCCACAGTGCCAATGACAGTGCTGGGTGCAGCATCTTCACGCACTTGAAAGGCATAGCGTGGTCTCTGGAACAAGGGTGGCTGCTGACCCCGACCTAGCACACTGACATAGACACGGGCATTGAGCAGCGACTGCAGGCCGCCTCCATCTTGCGCGGCCAGTCGGAGCTCATGCAGGGGCTGCGACCTTGTCAGCCTCCCAACCACCAGCAGCTCGCCTGCAGTGAAACAATAACACACATGTCACTTTGTATCATGACTGTGAAAAAATAAAATTTACCATGTTTTTTTTTTGGCTCAGTTCGTACTTTTTTTTATAAAATGGCACCATCAATTCACTTCACTGGTGCTTCTTGATTTCCCAAATTGCATGGAAAAAAAAGGTTGACTGAAAGAGGCTTCACCCCATTGCCGAAATGTCATCAGACCCGTCAGATGAGATGCCACTTTTCGTTTCCGCAAAGAAATCTACATAGCTGTTGTTTGGTGAGAAATTGTCAAAACTGTTTTAGTGATTCTGAGTACGAATATAGTGTTTCATTCCCGGAGTAAAAGAAAGTGTTTCTTTTAAAAGTGCTTTCATTCCCCTGTGGTGAGGAGGAAGCCGTATTATACGCAGAGTTCTTAGAAGTTATATTAAAATGACAGGGCAAGACACAAATGGCACATGGGCAAAGGAGGAAAGTGTAAATTTAAGGGCTTGTTTTCTTGTTTCAACTCAATATTAACGAGAACTAACAGACAATGATATCAGGAAAAGTACAGGGGATGCTGTACGAAGCAACTGTAATATAAATGTTAGAAAAGAGAAGTGCACAAAAATATGACTTGCCATCGGCAGGATCCGAACCTGCGACCTTCAAACAATGAATCCGATGCTGTACCACTGAGCTACAGTGGCACTCTGCCCCTCCTCCACTTGATAGAGTACATCATAATCATCATCAGCCTGGCTACACCCACTGCAGAACAAAAGACTCTCCTATATTCCGCGAGTCAACTCAGTCTTGTGCTTGCTCCTGCAACTTTATACCCGGACACTTCCTAATCTCCTCTGCCCACCTAACTTTTTGTTACCCCTTTACCTGCTTGCCTTCTCAAGGAATCCAGTCTGTGACCCTTAATGACCAGCGGTTATCTTGCCTTCGCGCTACGTGCCCTGCCCATGGCCATTTTTTCTTCATTTCGACTATAGTGTGCTTAACACTCGTTTGTTCCCCGAAGGCAACTATGGGCCCCTCTAACACTAACTACGCCTTGGGTTAGTGAGGAGTACGGCCGTTAGACCTAGCCAAGAGCACGGCCAGACGCGGCAGCTGGTGGATCTTCCGTACCCCGCAGCCGACAACCAGGCACTGAAAATGCCTTCCACCATAATCCTGAAGGGAATAGAAGTAAACACGGAGGTCTTCGACAAACCAGGATGGGCCACCGCCGTGGGACGCTGAAGACAGAAGACTCCGTCAAATGAGGAGCTGGCTGCTGAGACGGTCGAGCACAGCAATTAACCGAAGCACCCCAGGGGCTCCAAAAGGAGTCAATCGACACTGCACCGGGGATGGTATCCGCTTCCAGACTACCCCGCCTACCGAAAGAACAGATCAGAGTAATCAAGAGACTGAGAGGAGGATTGGACATAGCCAGAGTGGACCTCGTTCTGCTGGCGAGAGCTGTCATCATGGCCACCAAGATCACCGGCAAACAATCATGGGAGGACACTATCTGCCCCAACAAGATGCAAAACATCATCGTTATTTCTACACCACACCAAAATAATGCCACAGCATACGTAAAGGTGCAGGAACTGCGCACAAACCAAGGCTTGTTCGAAGTTGCTGCATACGTGGCCTCACCTGATAATACATGCAATGACGTCATCAAGAACGTTGAGCTCTCCCTTGACGATGCAACGCTCAAATGCATTATTGTGTACAATTGAAATCCCACTGCCATCGAGGCAAGACGCATTAAAAAGATCAATGTCATTGCAATCCTCTTCGACGGGTTACGCGTTCAGAGCACAGTGATGTGGGGAACCACTACCACGTTCCCTGCTCACTCTACAAGCGACAAGTCAATGCTTGCAGAACGTGCAGAGGAGTTAGTCATCGCGCCGATGTTTGCTGGCACGCAAACGCAACGAGCAATAACTGTCACAACTGCAGTAAAACGCTACAAGAAGATGGCATGCATCACTGCGAGCCAAAATGCAAGCTGTGAAATCGCATTCACTCCACTTGGGATCGCGAATGCACAAGACGTTTCCACATTCCGTACATAGTGAGGAGGGGAAGAAGACGCAGAAAACACAACAACGTCAAGACGCGCCAACATCCATCACGTTCAAGGAACCCGGCCACAACCAGGTGCCGGGGTCCCAGAACATGTCGAGCATCTATTCCTGTTCTCCATCTTGGGGCCATCCCAACCCACACGGCTTTCCCGATCCAGAGGGCATTCCCGATCCAGAGGGCGTTCCCGATCCAGGGGGCATTCTCGTTCTAGAATGGGCCCCTCGACCCTCGAAACAACAACCACCTGCCATCTCGGGAGTGCTCCAGATCTCGATCGAGAACAAGACCAGCAGCCGTGCCCCAGTAGCAGCAACAGCAGCCGAACGACGGCTCCTGGGCCAGCAGGGTTGGAGGTGCGTCTCGAAGCACATGTAGCAAGCCCACAGGTAAGGCACAGCCAGAGCATGCTCTCGGTTCTCGCATACCAGCACTTGAGCAAGAAAACAGGGCCCTCGAGAAGGAGCTTGAAGAGCTCCGGGCCTCAGTAGCTAGACTAGAGAGCGACCACGGAATTAACCATTCGAGCTCACCGGCACCACCGACAACATGCATAGAGCAAACGATCCAAACCACACACAAACGCAAAGCCGTGGAAAGTGACAGTGATACGACAGAGGAGGTCGAGATGATCTCGAATGAAAAAGAAGCCCTACTGACAAACGCAGAGTTTGTGCTAACTAAACTGAACGACAAAATTGATACGTTGCCGAACATGCTTGCCAACTTTATGGAAAACTTCAAGACTTACAATGACAAATCAGAGTAGAGGTTCATGAGAAGATGGTAGCCAACACACCTGTGGCGATTGCTTCTCAGAACCTAAGCGCGGACAAACGAGTGGTTATGGCAAGTGTGCCGAGCGTCACTTCTAGGGCTAGTTCGACGAGTTGAAGCACGCAATCTCGCGGAGGAAACAAGCCGCAAGGCACGCAAGCTGCTAATGCAAAATGGCCACTGACCCTAACAACATTAAAATCCGGCAACGAAACTGTAACTCACTTCAGAAACACAAAGCACCACTAACACAAATATTGCTAGCCTGTAAAGAAAAGACGCATATAATATTGCTTCAAGAGTGTGGAGAAATCAAAACTGCTAAGGGAATTGGCACTCAGGGGTACAGTGTAGCCAGGCCGACCCTGCACCCAGAGCAGAATAAGACGAGAGGAGTGGCTACCTTCATCCGAAAGGACATAATGTTCTCCAAAAGGAACGCCCCCGTATACAAAAAAGACGTGGAAACAGTCCTGGTGGAAATCTTACCAAACAGGGCTGTTAAAAGAAGCATCTTTGTGCTCAACATTTACAGTCCTTTATCAGATAAAAAAAGAGACTTCAGCAAACTGCTTACTTTCGCGGTAAAAATGGCGGGAAACAATCTGCTAATAGTAGCGGGCGTTTTTAACGCCAGGACCACCGAGTGGGGATACTTAAAAAGCGAAGGCAAAGGCACCAAATTAGCAGAAAGCACAAATGCACTTGGCCTACAGTTTATAAACAACCTTGCCCTCCCTTCAAGAAGAGGTACCTAACTTAGTACAACAGGACAGAATGCCCAACTTGACCTTTACCAAGAATGTCAGAGCTATCTGGGACAACCTCACCGAGGCTAAAGCACCAAGAAAATTCAAAGTCACGGACTGGGACCAGTTCCATAAAATAAAGGAGAAGGGCAGCACAGAACTATTGTATGAAGCTCACTTAAATGAATTAAAAATTGCAGCAAATGAGGCCATTGATGAAGTCGAGATAGATGAATCCATCCAGGCCATGGACTCACACCTGGCCAGTTTACTGCAGAAAAAGCATGACCTAAAAGATGCGTGGCATAAAAACAAGCTCAATAGACGGTTACACACAAATATCATGGACATTGGCAGCGAGATTGAATCTCCCACCAAAACACTCTCCACGCAGCAGTGGAACAACACATGTGACGAACCGAATGGCAAAATGCGGAAAGGGAGCAAATGGGGGCTGCTCAAACACCTTATGGGGGACAGCGACAAACCGACCAGAGGCGGCACCCAGCAGCAAATCGAACGATCGGTGCACAAGCATGCCCAGGAACATGGCGGATCCCAAGCTCTCCTCACAACGCTAGGCGAAAAATACCTCCCATTGGAAAGAAAAGCAGCAGCCTGGGAAAACGAAAATCCCTCATACATAGGTCAACCGCAAAAAAAAGTGGACGAACCATTCAGGGAAGCTGAAATACGGTACGCTCTACAGCAACTCAATGGCAGATCGGCACGAGAGTCAGATGGCATCGACAATAAACTGCTACAGAATTAGATGATACAACAATCGTAACCATTACTGAGAAGATATGGGAAACGGGTAACTGTGCCACAAGAATGGCGTAGTGCGAAGTTTTCGCTCATCCCGAAACTGGGAAGCCGCTGAGCATCGATAACTTAAGGCCCACATCACTCACATCATGCGTAGGAAAAGTAGCTGAGCATGCAATACTCTACCGTATCACGGGTCAGATTGAAAGCAATGGGCTCTTTCTACACAGCATTTTTGGCTTCCGCAGTGCACTGTCTACATAAGACGTCGTGTTGATGTTAAGGCAGCACATAAGTTACAGACTCCTCCACACCCCCAAAGCCATATTAGCCCTGGATCTGGCCAAGGCCTTTGACACGGCGAAACATGAACACATTCTGGGATAAATATTGCACAGGAACTTTGGCGACAAATTCTACAACTATATTAAAGCCTTTCTGGCGAACAGAACTGCCACCATACGCATAGAAAAGTAATGTGGCGAACCCGAACAACTCGGAAATATCGGCACCCCCACAAGGTTTAGTGCTCTCGCCACTGATCTTCAATGTGGTGATGCACATGTTGTCGAGAAGCTCGCTCAAATCCCCTCCGTGCACCATGCCATATATGCAGATATTACAATATGGGTCCCAGATGGCCAGTCATAAGATGGCCAGTCTTAAGCCAACTGGACTCGCACTCTCCCCCGCCAAATCTACTCTTAACGCTTTTCGACCCTCAACCAGATTCAGAGAAAGAGAAGCAGCAAGTATTGCTCAGAGCTGAGAACAACCAAATGATACCTCAAGTATATATGGTTAAGGTTGTGGGGATCGAGAGCGCCCTCCTACCTGGCACCTCGTTCCCCAGCTGCCGCGTACGCGCCGACCCCATAGCTTGGGCGCGCATAAGCACCGGAATTCGCCAAGATGGCTGCCAGGGTGCCTCTTGGTCTGTGCGAGTCAAGCGTCGGCTTCATCCCACGCTGGCATGTCCGGACAGGCTACGCTGACACGCTGCGCGGGCCTACGTCACAACACAGCGCCATTTCCCTTTGGGCCGCGCGTGACATCCTCCTTTCCTACAAGCTATGTTGCGCCTGATGATTCGCTCGTCGCGGCAGATGCTCTCAGGCCTCCACGAGAGGTTGACGCGCTGCTGAGGGGGCGGCTTCTCGTTCGTGCGTTCGACTTCGGCCCTTGTGCGGGAGTCGTCGCGCCCTAGGCAAGCGTACTTGCTCGGTCTTGCGGAGTTTCCTATACGGCCTGCAAGCCCGTGAGTATCGCACTGTGCTGCATCTTGGGTTAATAAACCCATTGTTCTTGTTTTTCTGCCTCGTGCGTGGTTTCTGCGCCGTGTCGGAGAAAACGACGAACCCGGCCGCAGCGTCGTCGCATCCCTACACGGTTGCGCTTAGTAGGTAAGCCTAGTTCAAACCTATCTCCACAAGGTACTAGGACTAATATTAAGTGCCGAGGATGGCCACAACACAGAGGCACTCAAGCCCCTTGAAAAAAGCACGAACAATTTTGCAAAGGGCATTGCTGGAATCGCCAACAAGAAAGCAGGCCTCCTAGAAGAAAACATCATAAAGGCGTATCACACCTTTCTCGTAAGTAACCTAGCATACGCTTTCTTGTTTCTGAAACTTACAAGAGTGAAATCAAAAAGGTCAACTCCATGCTCCTCAGGGGACTGAAAACGGCACTTGGCTTGCCCAATATCATGAGCAACGAGAAGTTTGAGCAACTTGGTCTGCGCAACACAGCCAAAAAAATTTTTAAAGTTCAGGGAGTGGCACAGATCACGTGCCTATCAATGACGCAGGCAGGCCATCTCATCATCCGATACACGGGCATTTGCCCAATGTTCCAACCATAGAAAAAACCAAACTTAACAATAACCTGAAGAAACGCATTAGGGTTGAGCAAATTCCCTGCTACGTTCACCCAACGTTCAACAAAGGCCGAAGAAAGAACAGAGCAAGGGCGCTCATAAACAAGGCAAACAAACACAACACGCACACATTATTCGTAGATGCCACCCGCTACTGCGGCACGCAGGCGTTTGACATAGCAGTCGTTGACATGGACGGAAACCTCATAAACACAGCAACCGTCGAAACAAGCCATGTCCCCGAAGCAAAGCAGAGGAAATGACGATCGCGCTAGCCATGCAGAGCTGCCAAGCCCATTCCACAATATACATCGACTCCAAGACGGCGACAAGATTGCTCGCGGCTGGCCTAGTACCTAGAAGCACTGCAAAACTCACCGTCAATGCAATAAGAGAATACGAGAGCAAGGAAACCCTCATTGAAGAAGGGAAAGCTCAAATCCATGTATCCTGGTTCCCAGCCCACATGGGCTAGATACTGGGACTCGACCACTGCAATTCCAACAAAGAGGTCAACCGCCTGGCGCGTGAGCTCACACGTCGCGCCGCGGCCAATTACCCCTCGAGGAGTGGGCGATACAAGAATCTCTGCAGCCAGTACAAAGCACTTACATACCAAGAGATCATGTCACATTACCGGGGACAAAGATGCCCCTTCCCAACGTCGCACCCAAAACTTAACAAAGTACAAGCTCTAACTCTAAGAAGATTGCAAACACGTACGTACATGACACCATTCACCTTACATAGAGTCGACCCCGACACACCACCCACATGCTCACTTTGCAACCATTCCTAACGCAACTTGGAACACATGCTTTGGCTGTGCCCTACATACAGGGCAGCACAACTAAACACCCAAGAGGCTCGGCAGCAAGTATTCAAGAGCAACGATTACAAGCAGCAACTTAAGGCGGTCCAGAGGGCCCGGGACATCGCTACAAGCCTTTGGCTGCCAGTGCCATCCTGGGCCGAGCCTCCAGGCCGATTTATTGGCCCCTACTCAACCTCCTCAAGATACTTTCAATAAAGTCAATCTCACTCACTCACTCAAATTAAGTTGGACCCTCTTTGTAATCCTCCAAGTTTATGCTCCATAGATAAGTACCGGTAAGAAGCAGCTGTTATATACCTTCCTCTTGAGAGATAGCGGCAATCTACCTCTCAAAAATTTTAGAATGCTTGCCGAATGTGCTCCACCCCATTCTTATTCTGCTAGTTACTTCAATCTCGTGATTCGGCTTCACAGTTACTACCTGCCCTAAGTAGACGTACTCTTTTACAACTTTAAGTGCACTGATACCTACCTCAAAGCGCTGTTCTCTTCAGAAGTCGTTGTACATTACTTTCATTTTCTGCAGATTAAATTTAAGACCTACCTTACTGCTCTCTTTGTACAATTCAGTGATCATGAATTGCAATTCATCCCCTCAGTTACTCAGCAATGCAATGTCATCGGCGAAGCGAAGGTTACTGAGGTACTCTCAATTACCTCGTACCTCTAACTCTTCATAGTAATAAGGGCTGCAGCGCGAGCACGAATGTGCTAGAAGAAACAGACAAAGTCGAGGTACGGAAGGCAAAAGAGGACAACACGAGCGCTGTTGTCCTCTTTTGCCTTCCGTACCTCGACTTTGTCTGTTTCTTCTAGCACATTCGTACTCGCGCTGCAGCCCTTATTACTATGAATTCAAACCAACTAGCCCAAATCGCCATTCTTCTCTAACTCTTCCCTTTCTAGGCCTCTGAAAACCTCCTGTAAGCACGAGGTAAATAGCATTGGAGAGATTATATCCCCTTCGTTTTACACCCTTCTTTATTGGTATTCTGCCGCTTATATATTCGTTTCTTTTATTTAGATTATTTTTGATAATTTTTTGCACTTGTTGCTTTTCTTTTGTTCAAACCTTTGTTTCCAAATGATAAATCATTTTTTACAATGAGGAAACTTTTCTTTCTGATTTCATTTTTCAATTAAATGTAAATCAAACATTCGCTGAGCTGCTGTGAGCCCTTGTAAATGGGGGCGGCAGGCACATAAACCTGTCGAAAGACAGCTATCATTCGCCGCTCCTTGATCTGTATGAAATGAACACAAATAAAGTTGATTAATTGGTTGATTCATTCATTATGGAGCACATGGTGGCAGTTGATCCACTGTAGCTTTCTTGCAGGATGTTTATATATGCTTCGACTCCCCGATTCCGTAGTGTCTGCATGACTGCTGATATCTCTGCTGAATCAAATGCTTTCTTGTAATCTATGATGTAATCTTGTAAGCTATGTATAGTGGTTTGGTGTATTTTCAGTATTTCAGGGGTGGAACAGGGTACATGAATTTGGGAGCAAGCAAAAATACTTTTTGTAGCAGGCTTGGAGGAGTCACAAGGGCCTTTTCGACCAAGTTTAGAGCAGTAAGAACATTCAGAGCAGATTCAGCCCCGCTAAAAGCACTTGTGAAGCTACATTTGTTTCATGCTGCATTTTTAAACACTCAGCTAAATTGTGCAACAGCCTTAATATTGCGACAGAAATTATATGGACACTCCGAATGGGTTTTCGCGATTGCGGACATTTTCCCTATAAATTCCAAATTAATAACATATTCCCACACATTGGATGTTCTATCCATGAGTAAAAGCGTGCAAGCAGGGGCGACAAATGAGGCTGAAGCAGAGGTTGAACGATCCGGCCTATCTGCGATAGCATTCGATATCCCCGCCCAGGAGGCCTGTAGTCGAAGCAGAGAGGAAGCGCTCTCCCCGTCTTGGAAGGGCATTAAAAAAAAAACTAGCGAGGAGGCAGGGAGGAACAGGTGTCGTTTGAGCAACAAGTACCGTATTTACTCGAATCTAGGTCGACCCCGATTCTAAGCCGACCACCTATATGTCCGAAGCCCGGGGAAAAAAAACTTACCTCGAATGTAGGCCGAACGAAACAGCAAAGAAAGCATTCACAAAGAGAAAACATTTATTGAGCATGAAGATGAAACAAAGCAGTTGGTTCATGATGCAAATAACTCAAGAAACATACAACCGCATTCTTAGTCCTCATTTTTTTGCGCTGCTTCAAGTGGCATCATAAAGATGCCACGCTCATTCCGAGTCATCATCGGTGACTTCTTTGTCGCTGTTTTCAAGCAGTGCGCCATTCACAGTGCCATCAGCGCATTCGATATTCCGCACTTTTTAAAAGAGCACACAATAAGGTTCTCAGGTTGTCATCCCATGCTGCAGCCCCTTCGGCGATGCTCCACTCTATAAAGTCCCGCCCGACTTGAACGTCAGATGATGATTCCGTGGCTAGGACGACGTTCCTTTTACAAGCGGCACTATAATAACACTCCCTGTTTGGCGCCATTGAGCTAGGCCGCACACTGACTACTCGAAACGTGACCTGAATTGACAAACCCTCGCCTCCATGTGCACTGTATTTAAGCCAGGTGTTGGCTTGGCTACTAATGGCTATAATGCTATTTAGGTGGCGCTAGTTGTGCACCGTTTTTCTCATCGTTGCCTAAAATTAACTAGAGGGGACTATGGCGCTGCGATCGTTCAGTGACCATGGGAATTATGGGTATGACATGGATTTCCCAAGTCTTCATATTTGCGAGCGGCGAATCGCACTCGTGGCTCTGTTTATTGGTTTTTTGTTTCAAATAAAAGAACAACCCGTTTTGAACTCGGTGAGCCGATTTTAAATGGTGCTCCTAAATGGTGAGGGTGGTGAAGCGCAACTGCCAAACATTTGCCGATTGTTTTGTGACAAAGCAGCTTCAAACTATGCAAAGCCAGAAGAAACGTAGTGTACGAAGACAAGGAAGTTTATGTACTACCCATAATTCCCATGCTCTCTGAAGCCCCATGCGTTGCGGCTCCCATAGAGACTAGCGCCAGAGTTCCCTTTAGTGTATATGTAGGAAACTCTACGGCTTTTCTTCATGGCCTCCGAGATGACGGGCGCGCAGCAGGCTTTTCTCCGGCCGTCCCAATCGCACGGAGAAATCATGTTTCCAGAGGTGGGCGTGGGCCGCTCTTTTCTGTGCCCCAAGACGCTCCTTATGGTCGAATATGGTCGAAAAGGCGGCTGCACTGATGTCAAAGCTTGCATGTGGCGAGAAAAAAATGGTTTTGCACTTTTATATAACTTCGTGCTTATTTGAAAATGCCGGGCCAAGGTGTACGAGATGCAAAGTCAATGCTTGGGGGTATATATTCCTAAATGGACTTTTCTGCTGTACATTTAAGCCACCGATATTAAAGCACTTATAATTGTGATGCCTGTGCATGAGATCCAGATGTGCCGGAAAGTTACTGTGCTTCGAAGTTTGCGGGCTGTATAGTATAGAAGGCATTGGTGAAAAAGAAAAAAAAGAAGACAGCCCGATTCGCAAGCGAAGTCAGAAGAGTGCCGCGTTCTACGCTCACGGGTTACACTCAATCGACTGAATGGTTCCCTTTTTTTTTCTTTCGTTAAATTAGCGCTGATTTTCATTGTGACGCTGTATCGAGAATTCTCACAGACGTGCTAATGTAATCACAGCGGCACAGCGCAATAGTCACAATGCGAATGGCTGCCCATTCGCACTGCGAGTTTTATGGTGTTTAAAGGATATGTTGGGCAATGTAGGAACGAACATCGAGATCTTTTGCTTATTCAAGAATAACGCAGCACGCGTTCAGGGTTTGGTGTATATCGTATAAAACACTGCAAGTTACATATCAGTGACACTTTACCCTTTCTTTACTAGTCTACCTTGACAAATACATTGTTTTAAAAAGACGCCGTTCTGCTGCATGTGCGTGCCTCCCTTTGATTTGGATGCAGTTGAGAGTACAGTAAATGAACCTGATACTGAT